CGGGCTGCCGCGCGGAGCACCAGACAAACCCCCCCTTAGACGGGTTTATCTCCTCGGTGAGTTCCGCGTGAAGAAGTAAACTTCTTTGAAATCTGTCTTTGTTTCGTTCCTCTCTTCTCAAATTCACGTTGGATGGGGGGAGGAGCAAAGGAAGCATGTGACAGCTTACGGGCTTTAAACCGAGAACACAAAACATTAAACGTTGCGTTTGTTACTTATTTTCCTTATCATAAAGACTTTCGGCTACAGTCATAAAGTTTAACGCCTGGAGATGTTTAAACCTTACACTGTAAATAGCCATAAGCACAGAAAGTATTTTTAACTTCAGTCGAGGCTAGAAGAAAAGAAATACGTACCAAACAAAAACGTCTCCCAGTTCACGTTCATGGAAAACTTCTGTTGCGATTACAGCCACCAGGGGGTGTCCGCCGCACTTGTCGCAGAAGTTGCATGAAATGTTAATGAGGATACAGCCCTGCCTTAGGGAGCCACTTCAGCTGCAGCAGCTGGAGGCCAATAGCTGTTGTTGCCTTTGGTTTTTTTAATTAGAAGTGTATATTTAAAGCTTATTTCTCAGACTTGCTCCCTTGGTGGCTATGGTACTCCTATCTCTAAACATTCCCCTCGAAACAGCCGTGTCTGTCTGCAGTGCCGGTGATGTTCCCGCTCCCCCTCCTTTCCTCAGCGCAGAGCCTGAGGAGCACTCTCAGGGTCTGCTTCCACAACAGCCTAGTGAACCCTGCTGCTGCTAGCCAACTGAAGGGCTATGATGTCAAGAAGCCAAAAGAGCAGAGCCCTGATGTCTGACTGCAAGAATCACTCTGCTGGGGTTCCTTTCCTTTTCTCTATCTTTTTTCTTCTCTTGTATGCCCATCTACCACTTCTCGATTAGTTGTCATTGCTGGGGACGTAAATAATTTTAACAGACATGAAATATGTCTTAAGTTTTTCCTACAGAAATTGTTGCGCTGACGAGTGCTTACGTGAAGAAAGCTGAAACTCCAAACTGCAGTTTCCCTGGTGCAGTAAGATGCCTCTCTGGTCCATAAACATCCACATCCTGGAGGACATAAGGAAAATTTTAAATTCCAAGTCAGAACCTATCTGAAGCAGGGATCAGGGAAAATTAGCTCCTCCTGCTAATGCTTCTCCCTGCTCTAGTACCTCATTTTTTAACACATACGTGAAACCAGGAGCCCTCCACAACTGTTAAAGGGAGAAAAAATATTTTAGAAAACACACTTTGATGCCATAGCTGTCATCTGTGCTACTATTACCCTGTTCACGGTTTCTGCAAAAAAATGGCAGATTAAGTTATGAAACATTGTTGGATAGTAGGATGCTTAACTCAGGAGGACTGTGCTAACTGAAGAACATAATGACAGTTTAAACACAATGCTGCCAAGCCTTCAGGACAGGGGAGCTGGAAGAGGAAGCACTTGTCCATTTCTGCTTGCTGCAGTTTTGAGACATGTCTGAAAAGGTTAGTCAGAGCAGAAGTCTAAGAAAAAAATATATGTTAAGTAGAATTTGGAACTGCGTATCACTGGGTGTTTTTTTTTTTCCTCATTTATAACCTTGGTCAGTGTTATGCTGTCAAGCTGCAAGAGCAGTCGGGTACTAGGATGCCCAGGTATAGAGCTGGGAAATTTTTCCTAGTACCCACAGCACCTCACAGCTCCAGGCAACCTGCAGAATAACCCAGTCATACAGTCGAGCAAGTTTTTAATCTTTGCTTATCAGTCAGTCCTGATTCCATAGCAAGGCTACAATAAAAAATTTGGAAATGAGTATTTTTCTGTTTGCATCGGGACAAGGAAAGAAGGTAGCAGAAAATAAAAAAGGGTAAGCAGTTTGTGCAGTTCGAAGGGAAGCACAGAACAGGATTGCACAGGAAACGCCACAGTTGAGGGTGGAGATAGCTTTGCTTGGAGAAGCTGGCCAAGGTGGAGGGTAGAATTGTGTTCAATAGGAGGAAACTTTTTCAGAAGCTAAGAACCAGCCAAACCCAGATCTCAACAATATGCATTTGCAGCTCAAGTTAATTAGAACGAAGACTCTGGTAGAGCCTGGAGAGTCTGCAACCAACTGACCTGGTCTGAGGCTTGCCTAGCTTATCAGAAGAATCCATTTTTCCCAATCAACGCTCCAATAAACTGTTTCTATACCAAAATCTCCAGTAAGGGATAGTTAATGGAGGTAGCAAGGAGGCTGAGAAGCACTGACTTACTCCTAAGCAACAAGTCAATGCAAACATCCTCTGTTAGAGGAACGGATGTAAACCAAATGGTATCCAAACTAAAAAGCCCAGATAGGCACATTCAGTATTGAGAGCGGGCATCCATAAAGGGCCAGTGTTATCAGGGAATTGTGAGCTCAGCACTCCCAGTTGCCCAAACTGATACTCTGACTCAAATTTGCTTAAAAGCTAAACGGTGACAATGTGACACTACTCCCCTCCTCTGCTCCCTTAGCGGGTGTTACATGGCACACAATGGGAACGGGAGGGCTCACACAGACGTGCACCTCTGATGGACAAAAGGAATCAATTAGTACTACGCTACCCCTGCTGAGAAACAAATTGCTAAATATTTTGAAGTGAGGTTTAGGTATGGCAAATCACCTACCCAAGGTTAATGAAAATCTAAGGTCCAAATCCATGTATATCTCAGTTCCCTGTTTCTAAGGAAGACTGCCACAAAGATCTGAAAATAATCTGGCAGGGTTTGACTTTTTTTTAAGAGAGAAGCATCACAGCAAATGCCACAATGGCGTGAAATGCAAGAAATTATAAAAATTAATAAGATGTATTCAGTAGAGTATTTGGACAAAGTATGGTATCTAGATCCTGGTGAGATTCCCTGAACCCTGCAGAGGAGGCCAGAAACCTGTGGGAAAAAATAAGCCTGTGATCACATAGTTACTGGATATATAAAGAGCTGCCCTAAGTCTTCAGAGAAAATTTAGGCATTTAGGCATTTCTTAACATTACAGTACTTTATTCAAATAATCTTCTGGTTAAATCCTTGCATGTAATCATTAATTTAATTAAAATAACATGTATAATGTTATATATACAGAACAAGCATGAAGCAAAGCACAGCGCACGCTTATGGGGCATATCTACGTGATTTACTTAAGGCAACACCGAGCTCACAGGCTTAACTGGCTGATCCGCATGACAATTTACACATCCCTTGGGCAGGATCATCCACTCAAACTCCAAGTTAAGCAGATTGCTGGAGGAAGTATGCACCTGTGCTAAAGCCAGAGGCTAACCTTTAATTCTTGCTGGATGGATGACAGAAGTGGACCATAGCTCAGGGTGAAGACAATAAACAGGAAAACAGATTAAGAAGTCGGTGAGCACATCTCACCTCTAGGCCTTTCTGATCATAAAATCAGACCAAACAGCTCAAACCACCAAAGTGGAGAAGCAGAGGAGAGACATTAATTTGTATTAATTAGAAAATATAAGCAGAAAAAGAAATGGTGTAAAAAAGGGGAAGCAGAAGAATGGAGGAGGACCATAGAAAGGAAATAACTCTGCTATGTTCCATTTTCTTTCATTGCCTCTTAAAAAGCAACCCTCAGGGGGAAAAAGAAGACAGCCTCTTAAGCATGTGGCTTAAGGGTGGAATTCTCCCAGGCCAGGTGTCTCTGGTAACTCGTGACTTCCGACATCAGAGTTTGGCAGTAGCCCATGACTTCAGACTTTAGAGTTTGGCATTTCAGGGTAATCCACTGCTAAAGGCGCAGTAGCCTGGACTAATTGGCTACTGTCGCATGTGCTTTTATTCTGAGCACACATCTAGGTCACTGCTACCTTCCAAACTTAGAAGGTGGGAAAGTTCTCATCTCTTGGCTCTCCCAGAGATTGTCCTGTTCCTTTTTTTGTTTCTCTTCATCGCCTAAGGAGTTCACTCAGTCCCTCCTATAAGTTTCCCCTTTAGGCTAGCAGCCTTCAGGTTCCAGTGTCCTTTGATCTTAGTATCAGGCTTTGCTGGGAACAGGAAGGAGCACTACTCGATATGCTCTCCGTATTGTGCTGGAAGAGCTTTGGTATTCTCTAGTACAGCACCCTACCTTTGTTTCTGTTTGCCTTTTCAACTTGATTCTTTTAATAACCCATTTTGCTCTTGCTCCATAGCAAATAATTCATCACAAACACAGGAGTTTTGCACATTTCTGTTAGTAATTTTCTCAACACATTGCAATACACAAAAAAAGAGCCTCTTGTTTAGCACACATCAAGTGGAAGAGATAATAGTTCTGTATCTAAAAGAATGTCTTCTCAATCTTTTGTATTAGGCCCCCTTTTCTATAATGGCTCGTGTCTCATTTGCCCTTCTCCAGTCCTTCAGTTTTACATACACAATCAGAACAGCATTTTAAAAGGAGCCTAGAAAGCGTGAGAAAAGAAAGAGGGCAGACGAGAGAAAGTGCAAAAGAGGGAGAGATTCTAACAAACAAAGACTGAAGGAAGTTTCCCTGAGGCTTCTTGCACTCCTGCAGAATGGGACCTGACTCAGCAAACCCTTCCTCGGTTCGAGAATTGCTGATTTAGAACTGAGCAAGTCCATTGATTTTTCCACACCTCAACTTACCCATAAGCAAAATAAGAGTAAGACTGCTTTCTGTATCATGTAGTGATGCTTACCTTACGCCACTTTTAAGCCTTTAGGCACATCAGAATAGCAAAGTATTCTTACACAGTTGGGGAATCTTTATACTTGACAAAAAAAGAGAATCTCAAGGAACTTGCTAACATTTCTAATATTACCCTATTTTAAATTCAGGTATAGAGTTTTATTCTGTCTGAGCTGAGAATGAAATCTCTTGACAAAGCTTGTTAATAACCATTTCTTACGGATATCTGAGATATTCATCTTCATAGATTTCACTGCAGCAGCACCCCTTCAGGCTATATAATGCATTTGCCAGCAGTCCTCCACATTCTCCATAAAAGCCAAGAAACATCGGGTGGCTATCGCAAAGAGAAGGAAATTAGGGGGTCTGGAACACATACAAGGAGAGGCTCAGGGACGTGGGTTTGTTGTGCTTGTTCTCAGAAGAGAAGGCGAAGCACAGGTATCTAATTGCTATCTTCAGCTATCTACAGGGAGGCTATAGAGAAGCAGAGTGTCCTCAGCAGTACCAAGGACCAGGACAAAGGACAAGAGGAAACAGTCACAAGTGACACCAAGAGTAATTTCAATTTCAAGCATTGAGGAAGTCTCCTCTGCAAGTGTGGTTAAGCACAGGAACAGGCAGCCCAGAGAGACTGCAGACTTTCCGTCCCTGAAGATTTTCACACCCCACTGGCCCAAGCCCTGAGCACCCCGGTCTTTGATGTTAGCCCTGCTTTGAGCGGAAGATTGGACTACATGACCAAATAGATCCCTCCCAAATTAAAGTATTTTATGACTCCATTAAGTAAGAAGAAAACTTTTACCCCAAGAAAGTTGAAATCACGGGACGAACCTTTGAGCTGGGGTTAGAGAGCAGGCATTCCTCCCTCTCTCCTCCTCACCTCTGCCTTCTAGTAATAGAGCTACTTGAAAGAATAAAAGGGGTTTCCACAGTTAGGCAAGTTTGTCTTCAGTTCCTTGCAAAATGCAGACTCCAAAGACAATGAGAAGTTGAAAGGATGATGTGCCACTTAGGTTTAATTTTTTCTCAGGTAAAGATAAGAAAAAAAAATTTTTGAGGACAAATCAGGATTTTCCTGCATGCTTATGAGTGACACAGATTCGAAGGAAGCACATAGAGTCTCCATTACAAGCTATAAAGCTGAGTCAGATGCAGAGGAGTTACTGGGAAGGGTCAGCCCAGCCAAGGATGCTCCCAAGATTAAGTCATACCCCATAAACTATATTTTGTTGGCAAGAACAGTATGCATACCATGAATTCTAGGGTACAGTTACAGATGTCCACTGCTGCCCTCAGTGCGGTCACACACCTTTTGGGTAACAGCGTAATCAGGTTATCATAACCTTTCTTCTAATTCAGGTCAATTCCTGCCTTTCCGTCTCTTGACTTTTCCTCATCACTTGGCACCTGCAATTTGTGATAGCACATACTGGCTTTTTCCCTTTGCTGCACGCAGTTTTTTGGCTAGAGGTGGCTACCTGAGGGTCGCGGCCGGAGGCCGTGGCGTGAGCCCCTCGCCCTGCTGGCCGAGCGGAGGCCCCCAGTGCTCCCGAGTGCCCTGCTAACAACTGCCCTGCCAAAAAACCCCAGCTCGGGACAGACACGGTGCTGAGAACGACCCCGAAGGATGACTGAAGCTTATTTACACAAGAGATTTAGTTTCTGTTGCGCTTAAAAAAGGTGTGTGTGGGGGGGAAGGGGCTGTCTGCTCATTTAAACCAACAGGCATTTCACCCTTAAGACGCCCACGGCCTC